CGGTCGCTCGCAAACTTGTAGGACACAAACTTCCTCCGCTCATGAAAGGTTATATGAACTCTCGTCCAAAACACGGATCCTTTTTGCTCGGCACCAGTCTTGGTATCTTGACCTATCTCCATCCAACTCTCGCAAATCAATGTGTCCTCTTGTTTGGTGTATGGTTCTGTGTGAATCCTTTGCTTCCTTCTTTGTGCATCGGCTATTTGGGTGAGCTCATCGATAAACAATGGCTCCTCCGCAATGGGACCTCCTCTTCCTCATGTTCGCAATGCATGCCCTCATCTTCATGCCATGAGTTGCCATGGTCGTCGGCCTCTTCTTCTTCATGGACACCGTAGTGGTCGGCACCATCTTAGCCGCGGGCGTCTTGGATTGGGTCTCTTCGTGATCGAAGCCTTGGTCTTGACCCTCAGTGTGGAAGGCCTGGCCGCGGCCCTTGTAGATGGCGTTCTCCATGAACGAGTTGTAGTCGGGGTCGTCGGCTGCTGGCGTCAGGATTGGCATTTCGTTGAGCAGGTTGCGGGCACCGGGAAGGTTGGCCTTAGGAATCGACCGGGGCTGCTTCCTTTGCATCCCGTCGGACGACTGGCCAGCGCCACTTACCCAGGCATGACGTTGAGGTCGATGACGGCCGGGTGGGCGGGGGTGGCCGGCGCGATCACGCTGTCGTCCGGCGACATGGAGAACCGGATTTGAGCCTGCTGCCACGTCGGATGAAAACCGGGCGTCTCCGATGTTATGGAGGGGCTCGAAGACTGGTACTGCGGAGGGCGAATGGCCGGCGAGCATGTGCTTACCGCGGCCATGGCAGTGGTGGAGAGAATGGCTGGCTCGGGCGGCACAACTCTAGCATGATGAGGGCATGCGTCGTTGCTGCCTGCATGGCCTTGGCGACGATGGCCTCGTTGTGGTCGACGACAGCCTTTGTGCTGCACGGCTTGCTGCGCGGCTGCGGCCTCGGTGGCGTAGTTGGTAGCGGCTTTCTTCTTCATCGCAACGGTCCGCCGAGCCCTCCTCTTGGACGATTCAATGTCGAGCCGTGCGACCTCCGCTGGTGTGAGCTCCGACCGCTCTTTCTAGCACTTATTTGTCGCGGGACGGACGATGGTGGCAGCTTGGTCCGCGTGTTTCTTTGGGACGCCGGCCATGGAGGAGGGAGGGGAGGGGGAGCGTGGGAAGTTTTTTTGGGAATGAGGGGGAAAGTGTGTGCGTTGTGTACCCGATGGGCGGGCCATGTGAGCACTAGGGCGCGCGTCCTGGCCGTCCGCGCGCTGTCAATTTTGACACCAACACGGCTTAAATTTGAACCCGAAATGTGTCGGCGGTGGATAAAAAGAAACATTTGTCCGTTTGCTCCGCGCGTTGTGCCGTGATTTCTTCCGTAAAGAAACGTTTGTCCGTTTGCTCCGCGCGTTGTGCCGTGATTTCTGTCCGTTTATCCTCAAACGGACGCGGCCGAACCATTTAAGATTGCGTTGGAGTTGGCCTTATGTGTGTCGACCACACAAAAGATATCGCGGTAAAAAACAGAACCTGTGACTCAGGCAGGGTGGCATGTCGACGGAGATGGCTGTCTCATTCGCGGAGAGGGAAAAAGGAATGGCCATCAGGTGAGAAGTAGCTTTAAAATAGCAACAGCTCCAGCATCACATGGCTTTGGCTGGTCAAATAGCAGGAGAGAACGGGCAGCTTGGGAGATCCGCGTCACGGTGCACCGGTTAGTGCTGACGCTAGGTAGCTTCTGGAATCTAGCTCTCGCACGCCGCTTGATTTGGAGCTGGCCAAACTGCTGGCCGAGAGGGTACCCTGATTAGCCTCTCTCCGCTGTTATTTCTAGACTCTTCTAATCGGATACTGCTAGCACATGGTTTTGTGCGCTTATTTCTTCTTCTTCCCTTGTCGTCACCATCAAGGCAATGCGTGTGCGTGCTTGTTGTATTCTCCTATATGCACCAATACTTTGGGCTGTCATATACTTTTAAGAAGAAAAAAATCCGGATTTTACCCAATTAATATGAACCATCCGCTTCGTGTCATCTGATGGTTAGTACTACTCGTATTATCTCTTGAAAGGCAAGATATGGACAACAATCTTGCAGGAGAAATATGAAGCTTTTCCTTTATATGTAAATAAAGAAATAAATCATTTCGGCATTGCATAGTGCAACAGTTTTCATGCCATTTTTCTGCGTGCCACGTCTCTGCCATTAATACCCACGTGCTGCCACTCTTCCCTCCCTCATAACATAGTATTTCTGGAGACATATACATACTCCCTCCGTTTCAAAATAGATGACTCAATTTTATATTAACTTTAGTACAAAGTTGGGTCATTTATTTTGGAACGGAGGGAGTACAAGTTTGACAGGCCTCATGCTGATGCTCAAACCAAGAACAACCCAAGCAATTATCAATCACGTATATTCTCCACGTTTCTCATTTAATCCATCCATAACAAAAATGCTCAAACCAAGAACAACCCAAGCAATTATCAATCCCATATATTCTCCACGTTTCTCCTTTAATCCATCCACAACAAAAAATAAATAAAAGGGTATCTTTGTGAGTTTGAGGAACGTGCTAATCGTATTTTTGTGCCACATTATATTACATTACTTTAATAAGACAATAGTGACAATAGTTCTGACAAACAAATATATTACAATCAGTTCAGACTTAGCATACTATACACGCTTGGCTACTTGAGTGAGGTGAATACACGGAACCTTTAGCACAATACGTAGTTCACAATATCAACACAACACACACAATAATAAAACGAGTCCAGTAGTCACATAGTACATAGGAATAATAGCATGGTAAAGCATACCATTTTAGCTCATGATTGTCATTTTGAGTTGTTCATCAGATGTCAACACTTCCCTTTTTCAGAAGATCGACCAAATAGTCTTCTTATGATTGACTTTTTCCTTTCAACAATTTCCTTTTTGAGATCAACCATAAAATTCTTCTTATTATTGGCGTTTTCCTTAATAAAGAGACAATAATATTCACCATAGTGGGAGCGAATATCCAACTCTTTGAGATTTGGGAGCGCATTGTTTGCCTCAACTCTCTTCAGTTCTTCCACATCAATCATGAGCTTCTTCAGGCAACGAAATCCACCAGCAGAGAAGACAAGATGGTCATCCTTGTAGGGATTGGAATACAAGGAAAGAGTGGCAAGAAAGGGCAGCTCAACCAACTTGACAACAAATTCTTGAGATATATTTGTTTTCACCAGTTAAAGAGTAATGCGATTAGGAAGGAGAAAGACACCATCCAACTTAGATGGCAAATCTAGCTTTCCTTCTAGCACTATGAACTTGAGGCGGCGATGGGTGTAGCTAGTGAACACACTTGATGGAATATTGTCACCTTTTATGATCGGATTCCTAAGGTTCCCAAGCCTATTTAGAGCATTTGAGAGAGACACCACATTGACTTCTAGAGAATACCCAACTCTTAAGTACTCAAGATGGATCATCTCACCTAATGTCCCAACTAAATCTTTCTCCAATGTATCAAGTTGTATGGAGTCAAGTGTCTGTAGGTGCTTCAGCCTGCCAATTTTCTTAGGAAATTTCAGGAAACTACCAAAAACATGCATTAGTGTCTTAATCATCCAGAAGGCCAATGGGAGTTCCCGAACTTTAGTTTCCCTCACATCTAGTGTTTGAAGACTAAGCCTTCCAATGGATCGCGGGATTTCCTCTAATGAACAAGATGTAATTCCAAGGTACTGCACATGCACAACATTGCCAATTTCATCTAGCAACCTCTTACCAATCTCAATGCCTTGTAGATTGATGACATGAAGGAACTCACATGTTTGCAATAATCCTTGTATATGAGATTTGATGTCTTTGTTTCTCTTCCACTTAGAGATTTCCCTAATTTGAGGCAAGCATCATAAATAAGTTTGATTTTCTATGGGATCTTTGGTATCTTGTTCAAAATGTGAGAAGATGGATCGTAGCTTCGACAAAGAACTGGCTAGGACAACATATTTATCCGTGGAATTCTGCAGAGAGAGGCGACAAGCACTTGTTAATGTGGGGATGTCATCACCGCTGTGGACTTCCACAAAACTTGCCTCTTGTGCTTCAAACTGCAGAAATTCATGGACTTTGTTTTGGATGGTAACGTAGATACTCCCGACACTAGATGTATCTTCCTCATCCATATGCACATGCTTAACTAGATTTCTTGCAATAAACTCATTCAAGTAGATGTATTCCACCTTCTCAATTGTCTTTCCAGCTCTTGGTTTTAGTAATCCCTCAGCCATCCACATGCACACCAATCTATGGGACACAATCTTGATGTTGGCCGGCAATGCAGCAAAGTAGAGGAAGCAACATTTCAACTCATGTGAAAGATCAGCAAAGAACACCGATAGTATCTTGTGCAGTCGCTTTGATTAGTTGGACTTAAGATAGTCAAATACATTGGTCCACTCACTGGGGAATTCCTTTGTTTGTACAAGACCTGATAAAATAACAATACCAAGTGCCAACCCTTCGGTGATATTGTGGATTTCTTGGTGGTGCCCACACAATTTTTCATCTTGTACTTCAATATGGAGTAGCCTCTTATGGAACAACTCTATAGTAATCTTCTATCCAAGAGATTCTAACTTGATGATTTCATGATGATAGCTGACAAGTGGCTCTTCTGGTTTATGTTGTGTGATATGCAGTATTCTACTGCCCTCAGCACCAACTTTGAGGTTACGCAGAATGTTCTTCCAGTCAGTGCTGCTAACTTCACCATCTATCACTAGCAAGTATTTTTTTCCTCTTAGTTGACCTTTAAAATTTTTGTTGACATCACTTCTAGTGCAATTCTCATCATCTTTTGTCAGCTTTTGAATGATTCGCCACATGATATTGGTAGCCATCATATAGGGTGCAAAATTTTCTTCTTAGCTATATTATAATATACTTCTCTCACGAGAGTTGTCTTGCCAACACCACTTTTTCCAAACACTGAGATCACGGCCGGATGGTGATGTTGACTCTGTAATTTCTCATGTTCAGTGGGAGTAAGAAGAACATTCTCCAGTTTCTTTTGCTATTCTTCGTGTATTGGCACATGTGGTGGTTGTAAATCATCCCTTCAATTCAACCATCGTTACTTGTTAGTAATTTTTAGTAGTTAGTAAGTTAAATTTAGTGGGTCATTTTACATCTCAATATTATTGTAGTGTGATGTAAATCATATCTATAGAGGTGTAATATTCAAGATTGAACCTAGGTAACGTTCCTTTCTGATAACCTACTCGTAATTCATGTTGTGTATGGGAAAACCATGATTCAAATAACTATTAAGTATTTAATTTTTGACTTATAACGAGAATTTGTGAAATTTCAGATTTTCTCTTGACCATGTGCCTAATAAATAACTATTTCTTAATAATGGTTGCAACATTTTTTTCAAGGCCCTCATACTACCACTTAGATGTCGAACATTACCTATGGTAATAATCCATAGCAAAGGTTGAACAAATTATCAATATGAATTTATTGATATTCTTTGAGTTAAAAAATGCTAATATTTTCTTTCAATGTTACCAACAGTATAACAAAATAATCATATGTTTGCAACATCTCCAACCTTTGATCACAACGAAATCAAAATAGCATTGCACCAAAATTTATTGCAGGATTGTAGCATAATCGTCTAAGTGGATTTACATATTTGGATAGGTGTGTTGCTACAGATACGATGAACCATATTAATCTTCATTCAATATACTACGTGGGACAAGTGTTGAAGATATGATGTCATTGATTCCATCTTAAGGTAAATGACCATATAAGTATTAGTTCTCCACATGGTTGGTGGATGTTTGGATTTGCCCAAGATCATACTGGGGAATTGAGGACACATTTCTGTTCAAAGATATGGCTTGAGAATTTTCAAGTAGAAAAATAGATATGAGAAGGTAATGCCTTCAACTAAATATAATTACACAATTGTATGTATGTTGTATGCTTGTATTATAATGTGTTTCCTTATGGTTTGCTATCTATCTTTTGTCAATGCATAATGGCACTCTGCTATGACGAGGACAAAGCTCTGTTTTGCACTAGCCTACATAAGCTTTGGGTGGTTACCTAGGAAAACAAAAAACGATGTATCAAAGATGGTTTCACTATAAAAACACTGTAATTAATGTATCACATGCTAGCATTTGAATAACTAATGATGATAAGTCAACCACTTCACTAATCGCTACATCTCAGAAAATGTGTGACAGTCCGAGACCGACGCTCTAGATGCCTTCCATGGATTCCGAGTTTCGTCGTGTGACTTATTTGTCTGTTGCATTCTTCATAGCATCTTTTGCATTGCATCATGTCATCATGCCATCAATTTCACAAACTAACTAAAACTCACATACATAAATTGTAGGGATATTTGATTCATTTAAATCAAGGAAATTCACATGTTGATTTCTCTTAATAAATATACAAAGTCTCCCAATATTTTTAGGAAGCTATAATAAATATTCCATTAATTTGGAATTCACCATAACACACGTGCAATTTAGTTCTATGGCTTTTTTCTATCTCACTTGTTGGCCTCAAACTTTGCATGTATATCCTTTCACTTTCCCAAGCACCACCAAGATTCTTAACATTTTTTTGACCTTCCGAACCCCCACTTCCCATTCAAACCATTTGAATTTAATTCAAATGAGTTTGAATTTAAACTTTCAATCATGCCCACTTCTATCTTGTCTGGATCAAGCTCATTTTTATGAGTCCGGGAACATTACCCCCATGCGGAAATTCTATCCCTAAAACTTCCTTTCTTCTCCTTTTCTTCTTTGACATTTTTTGTTTTAGGAAATAAAAGAAGAAGAAGAGAGAGAAGAGAGCCCAGCCCAGCTAGGCGTCCAAGCAGCCCAGCAGGCCATTTAGGCCCATCTGCTAGGCCCAGCCAACCTCTCCTCTTAACCCTAGACGGAAGGGAGAGCCCTGCTCGACGGGAGCTCCTAGTTGGCGCCTTCTGCGCCGGTTACCTTAAGTGGCGCCTGTAGGGCGTCGTTGGTGGGCTGTTTCTTCGCTGGCCCAAGTAGTTGCACGCTTATACCGTTTCTTTCGACTGTTTCTTCGTTCTGCTGTTTCTTCTACCTTTCGATAATACAATTTGAACTGCAAATTTCTTTCTGAATATGTATGAAATGAAATAGGCTTGAACAAAATATGGAACGAACTTTCTTAACAATGGAAAAATCTCCATAAATCACAGAAACCTGCTGATTGAAATCTTTAAGAATTTGGATCTGGCTTCCAGTAATTTAGTTGTTTGAAAGGAAAATTCTTTGTAAGAAGTACAACTGAATTAAAAAATTAATCTTGACAGATTTCAAACATGTGCGGTTTCACTAACAAACGAGTTCTGCTAACCACTCGGACTACTTACGACTAGTGATAGGTAACAGCGCAAATTATTTAATAACAATGTCGCAGTGCTATTTTATTGGACAAAACTGTACCAATTACTATTTTTGAATTATTTGACAAACAAAAATCATGAATTTGAAAATGTTCATAGATTTCGAACAAAGTTCATCAATTTTCAAGAAAAGTTCACAGACTTGAAAAAACGTTCATCAATTTTCAAACAAAAGTTCATCAAAATTGAAAAAAGTTCATGGATTTCAAAATTAGTTCATTAATTTTCAAGAAAAGTTCACAAACTTGAAAAAAGTTCATCAATTTTTAAACAAAAGGTTCATCGGTTTTTAAAAAAGTTCAGCAAATTTAAAAAACTTCATCAAAATTTTAAAAAAGTTCATGGATTTTCAAAAAAAGTTCATCGATTTTCTAAAAAAGTTCGCAAACTTGAAAAAAAGTTCATTGAGTTTGAAAAACAAGTTCATGAATTTTTTAGAAAAATTCACAAAAATTGAAAACAGTTCATGGATTTTTGAAAAGTTCACGATTTTGGAATAAGTTGACTGGATTTGGAAAAAGGTTCGTCAAATTTGAAAAGAATTCTTCGATTTTTTTTAAAAGTGCATCATTATCAAAAAAGTTCATTGCATTTGAATAAAAGTTCAAATGTTTGAAAAAAGCCCATCATTCAAAAATACAGAAGGAACCGATTCAATGGAAAAAAGAACACAAATTTAAAAAATGAAAAAAATAAGAATACCCGAATAACAACCGCCTCGGAAATGACCAATGAACCGTGAAAAAACTGGCTTGGGAAGTTTTTTGACGCTTCCCAAAACCAAGGGATTCCCGCGATTGAAGATACAAATAAAAAGAAAAAAAGCAAGTTACGAAACAGTAGTTGTTCGATGGCCTAGTGGTAGCTATGTTGGGATCGCTGCAACTGATCGTGAGTTCGAACTTCCGCGGCGCACATTTTTTGAATTTTTAAACAGAAAAGAAGAAGATATACATGGGCCGGCCCAGGTCGCAACGGCTGCAGGCGCCCGTTTGCGAAATGCCGTATAACGGGCACTTGCAGCGCTAAATAGGAAATGCCCTGCTCGAGCCCCTCTTCCCTCGATGTGCCATCAGAGACAGAGAGAGAGAGAGAGAGAGAGAGAGAGAGAGAGCAGCAACACTGTGCCCTCGTCCTGTTCCCCTCTGCCTCCTCCTCGCCGCCAGCCACCGCAGAACCAGGCCGTCGCCGCGCTATCTCGCCTCCTCGCGTTCCGCGCTCGTCGTGACCTCAGGCCCAGCCATGGTGCCACTGTCCCCGAGCTTATGCCCGCGCCTCCTGCCTCCCACGCGCTTAACTCCTCTGGCCCCATCGTCGCACCACGCCTGCCGCCGGACCTCGCGTCGCCGGTGCTTAACCACCCCGCTACCTCGTCTCCCTAACCCGAATTGGCCCGGATCCGGCCATCTTCGACGCCTCCTTGCCGGATCTCGCTGTCAAGTCCTCGTTCCCGTCGCCCGCACGTGCTCCATCGCCGGGTCAAGTCACCGTCGCCCCTTGACGCCTCCTCCTGCCGTGTTCGGGCCCCCATGGCCATTAGCTCAAGCCACCACGGCCTCAAGTGTTCTTGACCTCATGTCGGGATGTGCCTGCTCCGGCCACTACCATGAGCACCTTGTTTCTTCGCTGCCTCCGTGCACCTCCGGCTGCTTCCCGCTGCACTATCGCCCTGTTGACTCCCTCTCAGTTAGCCAAGACCAGCCGGTCCAAGACCACCTCAAAGTTCGACCACAACGTGTACGACTACGTGGATTCACCAAGTACCCTTTGGATATGCCAAGTTCGACTACATGGACCACCAAGTTCCTCTAGCAGCGACCCGGAACATCTACGGAATGTGCACGACTACGAAACGTGTACCACTACTATCACAAGTACCACGACATCGATGGCCCTTCAAGTTCGAGTACGGTTGACGTGTACTACTACTGTCGCCCTGAAGACGTTGGATTCATCAAGAACGTCTCCAAAACGAATGCGTACCACTACTTCCATCACGACCCGTAAACGACTACACCGCATCGACCCGAACCATCTTGAATCCCTTGTTTTGAAGGTATACCGCCGAGGCGATCACCATGGACGAATGAATTGTTGTATGAGATGCCCGTGTTTGCACCGTGTCCGAATTGTCACTCATTTCTATGCCACCGTCATGTGGGACACCTGGTATCCGGGATCACTCCCTGTTGCTCTTGCACTTTTCCATCACCTCTACTTGTTCCCTGCACCGGTAGCTCAATCGACTTACCGGAACCGAAATGTTGTTGTGACATCATTTTCGGATTCATTGCCGTGGCACCCCTTTCCACCATGGTGACAAATGCTCCATATCATGGTTGTCAACACTTTCATAAAATTGCATGCAACTTGAAATGTCATCCTCATGCATGTTAACAACAATTAAATTTTTGATTGAATTAAAATTGCTAAATGACATGTTAAAATGGTTTATTTCATAACTAATCAATGGTAGATCCGAATTAAATAAACTTTATATGTAAATGGGGTAGAAAAATGCATAGATTAACATGGGCACTTATTTTGCATGTTTAACAATTCGAAAATTGTGTTATAGGCAGTGATGACCCACAAGTATAGGGGATCTATCGTAGTCCTTTCGATAAGT